CTACATCTATCACCACCACTGTCTTCTGGTCCTTGTCTACTACCACAATGTCTGGTTGATTAGCCAGTAATCTGCCTATCCATCTGAATCTGGAAGTCCCACAGGATCTTAGCCCTGTTATTCTCCACAACCTTCTGTGGAATCTCCCATCTGGACTTGCAGGGGTCTAGCCCATACACTGAGCAGATGTTCCTGTACACAATGCCAGCTACTTGGTGCTGCCATTCACTGTATGCTGTTCCTGCCTGCATCTTACACCCTGCGACTATGTGTTGGACTGTCTCTGAGGCCTCTTTGCAAAATCTGCACCTTGGGTCCTGTCTAGTGTGGTAGACCGCTGCTTCTATGGATCTGGTGCTCAGTGCCTGTTCTTGTGCTGCTATTATCAGTGCCTCAGTGCTGTCTTTTAGTCTTTTAGTCCAGCCCTTTCCAGCCACTGATAGGATTTCCCAATGTTAGCCACCTCATACACACAAACACACACACACATATTTCTTCCTGAATAATTCTTGGAGCAAAAGTAAGTTTTCATATTTATATTACCAATACTTTAAAGTGACTCTCCCTGAGACAAAGGAAAAGTTGTGTGTATATGTGTCTGTGTGAGGGGTTGCTCTCCAGGTCCCCTCCCTTAAATGTTGCCATCTTACAGGACCTCGGAGGCACACTCTTTCAGTAGCCGCCCTAGCTCTTTGGAACAGCTTCTCACCTTAGATCCAAAGGATTCCCTACCCTTTCGGCCTTCCAGAGGGCTGTGAAGTCCTGGCTCTTCCCCCAAGCACTGGGCTAGGTTGGGGGTTGAGCTGCAAGGATGATTGGTCTGGCACCTGGGGGGAAGGGTACTTTTGATTTTAGCTATGTTTTTTATGGATTGCTGTGAGCTGCCTAGAGTCATCATGTGAGTTAGGCAGCCATATAAAACATGTAAGCAAGCAAGTGAGTGAGTGAGTAAATAAATAAATAAATAAAATTGCTACTAATAATAGGTCTTAGTAGGAATGCTTCTAACTGATTCCAGAATACTATCTTTGAAGGCTGGGAAAAATACTTGCAATATCGGAAGGTACCGATTTTTAAAAGATCTGATTGCTTCTTCTATCTTATACAATGCTTTACACTTTAACTTGTGCTGTGCTATAGATCACAAAAGATTCCAGCTATTTCGTTTAAAAAAGTGAACTGGATGGGATACGGTGTAAATTACTGAATACACATGTCGGATGCAAATAGTTTGCAGCTGTGAAAGCCTCCAGAGCAGTTTCTGTCAATCATATGGATTAAGACATACAGCATACATACAGGGTGAAGGAGAGAGAAAGTAAGAGCAAGAGAGCGCCCCTAGATTTGGAGTACGCAGAGGTACTCACAAAGCACTTGTTGACAACTCCCTAAAGTAGCTTTTCTTAGGATTTAAGGAGTTGCCAGCAGGTGCTATGTAGACGTCCTCTGCATGCTCTGAAGCACCTTTCCCTTTTCAAACTTCAAGCACTGAACAGACTATAAACAGACTAATAAATAATCAAGCTCATAGGGACAATAACATCATTTTCTGTATTTTTATTTGTCTGGAAGATGATTTCTCTTTAGAAGAAGACCTGCTTAGTTTCCCCTATTTCTGCTAAACTGATTCTGGTTATTCCTCAGGAATATTTCCTGTTCAAAAATATTTAATGAATAATTGCCTCTAATTCAATAGTATTGGAAACATCTGACCGTAAAGTACCAAGGTAAGGACTGTGGCTTCTGGAATGCTTTCTAGCCCTTTTATAGCATTGGCCACCGTCTGTGTATATGAGGCACTGGGAATATAACGTGGGCTGAATATGCTCTTGGTCACATGACAAGGAGGGAAGCTTAGAATGGAGTAATTGTCAACTTTTCAAGCTGCTGCCAACTGCCTCTCTCATAGGGGTATGTTTTTCTGGCCGATCTGAACTCCCATGTTAACAGAATGACCAACAGAGTCCTGACCCCGTTTACATAATTTGTTTCCAAGATTCAATTGAATTGGAAAGAATTTTAAAAAATCAAAGTTTAGTTTTAAGCCTATACAAAGGGACCCCAGAGCCAACATTCCCTCCTTGGTGTCCTAGTGTCTACTTACAGTTGTGTGAGACCAGTAGGAATAGTCAAAGCTGAAACTTTTGGGTGTCTCTTTGGGCTGCTTTGGATTAACGATAGCTAGGAAGAAGGAGAGGAGAAATGTCATAATATGAGGAACTAGCAAACATCATTTTCTTGATCCAATAAACTGAAGTATCCACATTCATAAAGCTATCCAATCTACAAATTTGAAAAGCACATTTCGTCTGTAACTCCTTCTGGGAAGCTTACACTCCATGTGTGCCCAAGAACAGTTGAGGTTCATCATGAACAGCCATTTGGTAATACGTGAGCTGGCCAACTGCATCATGACTTGGCATTGCAAAATCAAGGAGCAGCTTCAACAAAGAAAACATTTAAGTACAACACTGTTGCATATCGACACATTCCTTTCAAAAAATATCTTCTCTCTTAGACAAACCACTTGAAAAATTGTGCTATAAGTTTCCTAATAAATGTGAGCTATTGTATCCCATGAAGCAATGGGAGAGAGGGCAACATGTTTCTACCAAAAACATAAAATACATACCGTCAAATATTGCATTCTCAAACCTTTCCTTCAGTAAGTTTTCTCCCCAAAGAAAACTATAATTATAATTATAAATATATTATTATTTTCCTGTAGAGATATAGCAAAATTTATTATAGTGAACACATTCACACATACACTTTAAATAGGAAATAACCTAATGTGCAACCTAATTAGATTAAAAGTTAGGTACACATAAGAAATCAATGGGCTGAAGTAGAAGTATGTAACTCCCTGGGTATATATTGATTCTGTATAAGGTCAGGCTGATCAATATCATTATGGTAACCATGCCAGATGAGGGAGGGTTTATCAGCTGCCAAGCTGCCAACGTAATCCATTTATGTTGGATTACAACTCCTATAATTTTCAAGTAGCATGTTCAACTACTTCCAAGTGATCTGGTAATATAATGAATCAAATAATTGTTAAACTCTGAACTTCTTAATTTGTTGATATATTTAGGCTAGTTTCTTCCACATTTTCACTAAAAAAATAATAGGAAAAAAATAAGGTACTAAATTCAAAAAATTGGACATACATCACATTTATCTGGCTTTTGCCTATATATATATACAGCCCAACACAATCCCAAAAGAGCTGAAAATCTTCAAGCATAAAAAAATAATTAAAACTAATCTGGATTGCAATTATATGCTTTCTTACTTGGAATAACTTGAAATTAATAGGATTTATTTCTGAATAAACAAGTGTAGCTACAGACTAGATATATAAATGAACTGCAGTAAAAACCTACAAAGTTACTGGTCAGATTAATTAGGGAATTATTCAAACATTTTAAGATTTTGTGTAATATTTCAGTTCAATAATACTTTATTTCAATTCAGTAATATCCACATCACATCATATTATCTCAGCTTTGGAATAATAACAACGTATGAAATTATTCAATGTCAATGAGGAAAGGGATCGTATTTGATGGTTGTACATAAAAGAAAATCTGCACAGAAATCTCAGTGCAGTGCTTTCTAATGTGTTAAGGCAACATCTAGCCAGCACAGGCAATAGTGCAATTACATGTATTTTCATATCTTCTCATAATTTCATAAGCATCCACTGCAATGTTAGGTTTACTATTAGATCCTATTTTACTAATCCCAGAAATGAATTTGTATTTTGAAAGCAGAGGGCTCATTAATAATGAACCTTGATGTAAGGAATCCAAAGGTAATGGGCAGAAAACAGAAGTGGGCTGGTGATTACATGATATGTTAGTTAATTGAGTTACCTGCAGACATAGTGATGACAAGCCTCCCATACGTCAGAAATCACAAACAGCCAAGTATCCTATCCATTTTTTATCTTCTGCTAGAATGTCCCATGATGTACACACCTACAACTGATGAACTATCTGTGAAACGTATTCCATAGAGATCCTTGACAATAACAAGGTATAGGTGCCCTACTCCTTTAGTAATTCCTTCCTTCTTTTTTGGAAAGTCCTTTACGTAAGGCTGCAACTTTCTCTAACACCGTTTTTGGCAACAGAAGTGGAGACCTTTGGCCCTGCAGATATTGTTGAATTTGCTGATGGGAGGGCTGCCAGCTCCCTACACATATTTTGTATCATTTCAAAAGAATATTTAATTGACTTAATTGAAATGAAGAACTTTTACTTACTTAATTACTGTACTTACTTAAATTGGTATTACTTGTGTCCAATTTTTTCATGTTGGCTGATGGGGAGAAAACAGTAGCTCTGAAGTCAGAAAGAATGAAAGTACACTATTTTTAAGGTGCGTTGGTCTATCGCATGTAGGGTTAGGCATTGCAAAACAAGTGTAGAAGTATCTACTGCAACCAGCAGGCTTTTTGAAGGGATACCCGTTAACCTGTGAGGTGCTTTCCAAAGCACTCTGTAATGTTACAAAGGATGCAACTCTCAGACCAGTCAAGTGAAACAGTAAACATCTTGCATCAGCCCTGTCAATGCCCCCATGATATGTGATCTTTTTTCTCTCCCTAAGAGGAACATTTCATTTGAAAACTTTATACAAAAAAGTAACACCAAGACTTCTACATCAGGAGTCCAAGAGAGAATTGAAGCTCCTGGGTAACATGCACCCTATAAAGGCTTTTTTGTGATTTCTTTGAGAGTTAGTTCTCACATACTCAGGGAAAAAATCTGACATCAGATCTGACCATTACCACAGCAAAAGACAGCTGGACAGCTGGTCTCCACTCAAGGAAAAAGGGCATCCAGCTTATTGCATACTGTGGGCCGCAAGGGGGTGCCACAAATGAACCTTGAATTCACTATATATAGGACCTGCTTTTGATACACAGCAGTCATTGGAATTATTTCATAAAGGCTTTTTAGCTTTTTTACAATAAAATTCCTTATTAGAAGTTCTTAAATTACTGTGTGCTTGTTAACTGTTTCCAATCCAGCCTGCCTGGGAGAAATCTGTCAGTTCTGAGAGCCATTTCTAATGACAGGTGACAGAAACTAATGGCAGAGTTCCTTGATATTTTGAAATGAGGAATGATATATCGGCTGTAAAATAAGCTTAGAACATACATACATGCACACCAATCACAATATTCCCTTTTAGAATAAACAACATTTTGCAAAGTGTAGAAAAGCAGTAATAAACCATAGTTTTTCATATAGTAATAAGTTCCAAGTTTGGGGTATATAATTCTTAAGTACATTCACATCAATAAACTGTGGATTTACTGAGATGAATGATCACCTTACAATGCTGGAAAAATCGACTTGATGTATAGACATTGGTGGCTGCAGCTAAGGGGAGGTAGGAAAAGGAAGATGCTAGAAACATTCGGGGGCGGGGGGCACAGGCCAGCCAGTTGGATATGTTGCATTTGAAGTCAAGGACAGCAGCTGTTGTAGCAACAGCCAATCTGGCTATAAGTGTGGTATATCCAACTAGCCTGTTCGCCTCTTCCTCATTTCTCCCAGTGTCTTTCTTTCAATAACCCCTTAGCTGCTACTTGTCACTGCCAGTATTCTTGGCTTTTTCCCACTCCCTATCCCAAAATATTTCGCCTGAAACCTGCATGTTTCAACCTGAACATCGATCAACTAAAAGTAACTGCTCTGTGCAGAAAATGGTTTATGCACAAAATGTTCTGCATGTCCCTAAAAATAAAGCATACAGGAAAATAAATTGAATGCTTAGCAAGTGATTGAACATTAAGCAAGGAATAAGGGAAAAAAATGTATGACATCCCCTTAGTTATTTAATATATTTGTTAAGTCTATAAGAATATTTGTAGAATGTGAATTTATTTGACAAAGCAAATAGCATTCACTAGTGCAGCAAACATAATTTTAAAAAACAAAGACACTCCCCAAACTTTCCTCCAAAAAACATAACTTCTCTTGCTCCAAATTTTGCTCATGACCACTTTACATCATCAGCATGCCCACTGCAGCCTCCAGGTACTCCAAAATGTTAAGTGTAACTCCAGTCTAGGGGAGAGTATACTCTCAGTGCCCCCAGAATAAGGCAACAGCCAACAGTTTACAGTTGAGTACATTATTTGCATGCCTAAGGTTCCATGTTCAGTCTTTATATCCCCAATTAATATACTTGAGATAGGAGAGCTGAGAATGCTAGTTATGAATGTGTATGGGTCAGTGAAACCATCTAAGTGCAGAAGTCTAAATCAACCAATCTTCAGTTCTGATGCTGTTTCTAGCACTTTGATTTTAGAAGCAATTGTAATGAGGACTGAGAGGCATTCAAGCACTAAACATTTGTCTCCTGGTGTAACATATGCACACTTTAGAATTCTGCACACATTTCTCCTCTGATGTCAAGAATGTTACTATGGCAATCTAAGAACTGAGACTGACTTGGCAACATGGAATAATGGCAAGCTTAAAAAAAGAAGCAACTCCATAATTTTAAACACCATTTGGATGACCTTTCAGAATAAGGAGATAGTGTGAAGAATTACAATTTAAGATTTAATAGGAAGATGGTGCATAATTCAAATCAGAAATTTTTTTCATTATGTAGACTCGACTGCACCAAGGACAGGTTAATGTTCAAGGAAGAGAAAGAAATGTACACACACACACAAATACGCATACACACCCCTCCATAAGTGATACAGAGGAAAGCATGTAAGGATAGCGATGATTAAGAGCAAAAAGGGCAATGCTATTTTAATATGCAGGACATATAGAATTATGGTCAACTGGAATTATTATATACAATCTAGCAGCTAAAAATGTAAGTAGCACCATCTCTTCCACGTTCAGGTCTACATTTCCCCAATAATATCTTCAGACAGGGTTAGATAAATCTTTTCCCCCAACTTATCTTTTTCTGTGCTAACAGAAACTTGGCAGAACTAAAAGGGTTCACTTAACCATCTGTCCAGAGTATATACATAAGCATAAACAAAAATTTCTTGGTATAGAAATCAGCACAAAACTGACACTTAGAAATAAAATGGCATCTTTCATATCCTTGTCTCACATATGAACTAGATAAATACAAACAAGCTAGCAGTAACTGTGACCAGACTCTTACAACAGTTGATGTAGTCCTAC